GAGGGCTTGCACATTGGAGCAGGGTTCAACATGGGATAGGTACCTGCCATTTGTGGAATTTTCGTACAACAACAGTTTCCATGCTAGTCTGGGCATGGCACCCTACGAGGCGTTGTATGGTAGGAGGTGTCGTACTCCTACCTGCTGGTCTGAGGTTGGAGATCGTGAGTTGTTTGGCTTGGACTTTGTCCAAGATACCACCCTGCAGTTCCAGATGATCAGGGAAAAGTTGAAGCAGGCGCAGAATCCCCAGAAGAGCTATTATGATGTTAAGCATTGTCACTGGAGTTCAGTGAGGGTGAGCACGTGTTTGTGAGACTTTCACCTGTCACCGGTGTTGGACGGGCACTCAGAGTGAGGAAGCTGAGCCCACGATTTATTGGGCCCTATCAGATCTTTGGTAGAGTAGGACCTGTTGCCTACCGACTTGCCTTGCCTCCGAACTTAGCCAACATCCACGACGTGTTTCACGTGTCTCAGCTTCGCAAGTACGTATCGGATCCTTCGCACGTGGTGCAACCAGATGATGTGGAGGTTCAGGAGAACTTGAAAACTCCCGTCGGACCAGTTAGGATTCTCGATCGAGGCGAGAAGCAGCTAAGGAGCAAGATCATTCCGATGGTCAAGGTTCAATGGACAGGAAGAACTCCTTAGGAGTGTACCTGGGAGCGAGAGGACAAGCTTCTTCGGCTGTATCCTGACTTCAGAGAGAGGTATATTCTGATTTATTTGCTCGATTTTATTGTATGCTTGTTGTGAGGGTGCTTGTTGTGCCTAATATGTATGCTTGTTGTGAGCAGCTAAATATGTATGCTTGTTGTGCCTAAATATTGATAATATTGTTGGTCCAAACAGATTGTGATCTTGCTGTTTGTGGACTCTGAGATATTGTGGACTCTTGGCATTGGATTGTTAGCTTGCAAGGTAAGCTTTCGTGTCCTCAGTTTAGCCATTGTATGTCCCACCATGTCTCATGGGGGGATGGTTTATATGCATAATGTGTTTTCATGTACTGTTTTATGAAATGCTATGGAGCTGTTAAGTGCAAATACTTTATGATATGTATGTGGTCTGACGCCTACACAGGAGGTCATGAGGCGATCCTGTGGGCGAATACAGTATGGGCTGGTACAGCATGGGCTGATACTGTGTGGGTAATAGATGTATTCCTGCACTTCTCTTATCAATAGAATAGTATAAACACACATGACATGATTATCTGTTGCATTGCACTATTTTGGAACTTATATTGTTAAATGGCTTTTGAACTTATATTGCACATGTAAGTGAACTTGGAGTGGAAAATCCTTGAGGACCCCTTGTCTTACTGAGATTTCTTTTTAGAGATCTCACCCCACGTTTGGGGCACCATTTCAGGTTCAGGTAATGCGGGGGTTGAGACCTCTAGTGGCAGGAGGCCAGAGCTTAGTTGATTGATGATATCTGCTTATGCTGCTTATGCTGTTATACCTGGATGCTGGATCCTGTTTGTTGCTTTATGATTGTAGCTTTATTTATGGATTTCTTTGTTGAGACCTTGTTGCCTACGTTGTTTATTTGGTGAGCATGAGGATTGTCCATGCCACTTGACTTGGTTATGTCGTTGTTCGGATTCTAGTTGTAATAATACATCAGGATATTGTCCGGACTACGTGTTGTAGATCCGTGACTTAGATACTCACTTTATTTATATATTGAGGTATTCTAGTTAGTTGTCTTTGCAATTTACATACAGGCGATGTTTTATGAAAATTGATTAATTAATCAACTTGGATAAGATTAATGACGTCATAATTGAAAAGAAAAAGATATTCCGCATTTTAAAATTAAGTGTGGCTTAATACGATGATATGTTAACAAACCGGGTTAACAGGGGGTGTTACACTCGCTGTTGTGTTCGCTAAAGCAAGCAACAGAGCGAGCTTAATTAAACTTCTCGCTCATGTTCTCGCTGAAGCCAGCAGCAGAGCGAGGAAGAATTAATTTTTATTAATTCTTGATTTTCTTGATTTTTGATTTATCTTTAGCTGGTGCAAACTGCCTTCTCCTCATCAGATTAGTAATTTCTTCTTTCTAGTATGAAACAACCTGAAACAATAAAAAAAAGTTAGAATCTTATCTAGTTGTTGGTATTTTAATATTCCTTAAGATTTTATTAATTAACACTATATTTTTAATCATATTAATTATTATTTGAACTATATTAGACATTAAAAATATAGTGTCTTTGACACTTATCACAAAGCTCGGTCTAACTCAGCCCACTTTCATCCCTACTAATGATTATATAGGACGAAATGTCACTCCCATCTATTTCGTTTTTCATTGCAGAACAGCAATTGTTCCACCTTTTTTTAAATAGATTAAGCCTAAATATTAGTATATATGCAATAAGTGATAATTTGTTAGAGGGAACGACTCCTGACATGTAAAGTAAGAGAAGAAAGGAACAAAAGAAAACAAGAGCAAGCTATCCTTTACTTTGACTTTCCTTATTGCAATAAAAAAGCTGCTTTTATATCTTATTTATTTTAGAAGGGAAAAAAAATTAAAATATTATTATTTTAATAAATAATTACGAATATATAAGTGTTTTAAAATTATTTACAAATCTATAACACTTATTCACGCCCAAATTGGACGTGAATGTTTACACCTAAGTTAGGCGTGACTCGCGAGGCATTCACGCTTAATTTAGGCGTGATTCGTCTAGTGTTGAACGTGGCACAAAAAGTCAATTTACGAATCGTAAAACTTTGGAAGACCATAATTTTTTACTTAGTTATCCGAATTAGGTAAAAAAAAATTATTCCACATGACTTTTCAAGATCTATGCAGTAACACCTCATTTGACATATTTTATCTCTCACAAATACAGTTCAAATTTGCAACAATGGTATTATAAAAGCGTTTAAACCCAGAATCATCTGAGTTATTTTCAAACCAATACCAAATACAATCTTCTTTTTAAAAATCTTGAAATTGTAAAAAATAGAACAAGCAAACATCTAACTCCATTGAAGAGAAATAGAAGCTCGTAGACATAATAAGAGAGAAATTGTAAAAAATAGAACAAGCAAACATCTAACTCCATTGAAGAGAAATAGAAGCTCGTAAACATAATAAGTGTAAGTGTGTGTGTGTGTGAAATAGAAGCTCGTAGACATAATAAGAGAGAAATTGTAAAAAATAGAACAAGCAAACATCTAACTCCATTGAAGAGAAATAGAAGCTCGTAGCTCGTAAACATAATGAGTGTAAGTGTGTGTGTGTGAAATAGAAGCTCGTAGACATAATAAGAGAGAAATTGTAAAAAATAGAACAAGCAAACATCTAACTCCATTGAAGAGAAATAGAAGCTCGTAAACATAATAAATGAGTGTGTGTGTGTGTGTGTGTGACAATAGAAGTGAAAGAGAGTAGTTTTTTAAAAAATATTTTTGAAAAAATGATAATATAATATAATGTGATCTCGTTTCGGTGGTTCCTTTTTAAAACAAAAATTAATAGGTGATTTTTTGGCTTGGATGTCCGATTTTTTTTCCACATAACATTTTGATATCTATGCATTGAAAAATTTTAGAAGAATTATTTATTATTGTTGGGAAGTAAAAAATTAAATAACATCATTCACAAAGTTAAAGTTGTTTAGATTTTTAAAAAATATATTTATTTTTTTAGAAAATTATTTGGCTTTTGACTTCTGTTTTGTTTAAGCTAAAATTTTTAGCTTTCAATAAATGCAGGTTTTTGACTATTTTTTTTTTTTATAACTTATGTGTCTTTTAAAGAAGACATCCAAACGAAATTTTTAGTATAAGTGCGTTTTGTTTTTATAAAAAAAAAAAGAAGTAGTTTTTGCCTAAGAAAAACTAATCTAAACACAACCTAATTCAACTTTGCAGTTTAATCAAACCATCCAAGCATAAGTGGCTTGTGGTCCAACGGCTGCAAGCTGGAGTAATGATGCAAAGCCTCGGTGAACCGGTCCAGAAAAACCGGTCCATTGCAGTTCGCTTCCTGCTCAACAATAGTCACGAGTCACAACATTAATGGATCCGGGTTGGGCAAGCATGCGGTGATGCTAAAAAACGGAGTTAGCAACAACGCCCTGGGTTAAGACCCGCTAAACTTGTGCTTGGTCAAATTATATAAATTAATATGCTAGTTAAATGATACACGTGCGTCGTTAAGCGATCACCGTATTTTTATTATTTGAAAAAATATACTTTTTACACGTCTTTAAAAAATATATATCTCCTCACATTATTTAGAATAAGTGAACAAATCGTAGTCTAGCTGTAAATGACGAGGTAAGAAAAAATTATTAAACGATAAAAAATGAAAATGTGAAGTGATTTATGTCTTTAATTAGCATTATGAAACAGTGACACACAATCGTGGCTGCCAAATTTGATATCCTGCATCGTGGGGTCATCATATGTTATTGTGTACAGCAAGTTGGAGGAACCACAGATTTGGAAGCGAAACAACACCTAGGTTAGAACTTGGTCCAATCTTTCGTATTGAACGAAATCTTGGTGGGTAAAAAGCATAATTGTCTTGCATGTGAGGAGATTGAGCATCTTATGTCTATTCATGTTGCCTAGTGTTTTAAAGTTTCTTAAAGGGTAAAAAATGGTTGTCCAATGTGATTTTGCTAGCTATTAAAAGTATAATTATAGATTTCAAACTTTGCTTCAACTTGATTTGGTCCATAGAAAAGAATACTTCTAGGGTCGCAAAAACTATCATTCCCCTTGAGTTTGACTTGTATCTCACTTTCAGACACAATGATTAAATAAGCTTCCTAGGCCATAGTAATATGGATATATTCCAATGAGCTCGCCAGTTTTAGACTACTTTAGTCACTTTACAGTTTATACAATGGATGCAATGCCTTTTCACCTTAACTTGCTATTCCTATACCTTTATATAATCCAACATTCCCCTCCATGTTTCTCACCCCAAACTCAAAATCACCCAATAAAACAAACACAATGAAAAGCACATTGTTTCTCCTGTTCATTTTGCTCTCTCATGCTGCATCGAAAGGGTGCAACCCAGAAGACAGAAGAGTCCTTCTCCAAATAAAGAAAGAACTCAACAACCCAACCATTCTCTCCTCATGGAAACCAGACGCTGATTGCTGCCACACTAGTACTTGGTACGGTGTGAATTGCTTACCCCATAATAAACGTGTTGGCTCTCTAACTATCTCATTCGACAATGAACTTAACTCTCAAATTCCACCCTCCATTAGTAACCTACCTTTCTTGGACGACCTATATTTAACCAACTTACCAAACCTCACAGGCCCAATCCCTGAGTCCATATCCAAAATCTCAAATCTCAAATACCTCACAATAAGCTCAACCAGCATATCAGGTTCAATACCAAACTTCTTCGCCAAACTGAAAAACCTCGTTAGCTTGGATCTCTCATTCAACCACCTCTCTGGGACACTCCCTCCATCTCTTTCCAGGTTACCTAATATCTGGGTAATAAACTTTAGAAACAACAAACTCACAGGTTCAATCCCTTCTTCATACGGGTCCTTGGCATTAAGGGTGAACTCATCGTATATCAGTTTGTCTCATAACAGGTTTGAAGGTGATGCCTCAATGCTTTTTGGTTCCACCAAATTGACAGTATTTATAGACCTTTCTTGGAACAAGTTTGCATTTGATATGGGAAAATTGGAATTGACTAAGACACTAGACACGTTGGATGTGAGTCACAATCAGATATATGGGAACCTGCCTGTGGGAATGGAAAATATATTCATTTTCAATGTGAGCTACAATAGGCTTTGTGGTGAGATTCCAAAGGGTGGCAGTCTTAAGACTTTTGATACATATTTTCATAACAAGTGCTTGTGTGGATCCCCCCTTCCAAGCTGCAAGTGATCAGATCACTGTTTCTAGTTCTTTTACACTTTCAGAAGTTTGATGAATAATGTGTTCGTTTTGTAAGTCGCATGTGGTTTTTAAACTTTTAGTGACCGTAGAGTCACACTAGTTTGGAATAATAAATTCTCAATATATATATATAGGGCAATGCTTTTCTCATGTTAGATGAGATAATATTATCTCATGTAGAGACATAATTGGGTGGGTTCCACGGTTAAAAGAAAAGAAAAAAGAAAAAGAAATGCTGGCTCGGATTGCGATGTGTCTATGACATGAGATAAAAAATTTTATGTAACTTGAGAAAAACTTTTCTCATATATATATGACTACGTTTTAAATTTTAGGATTGCATTTTCTTATGTGACAGATGATATGTTTTTTTTCCTACTGAGACATATAAACGGGCCCCACAAGTTTCAAAAGAAAAATACAAAGCACAAGGTTCGATGGCTGAGACATATAAACGGGCCCCACAAGTTTCAAAAGAAAAAAAAAAGAAAAAAACAAAGCACAAGGTTCGATGGCTGTATAGGAAAAAAGAAAATTTTTATGTAACGGCAGACAATCATTTCCCCTTAAATGTTTTAGTTTTTCTAACTAGGTTTTTTTTATTATTATATATTATTGATTTTCTGATTCCGTACGTAATTGGTGTTCTCTGTACGGTCATTAGAAAAATCCTCATTTCTTTAATATACAAGAAGCCATGGCATTCATGGAAAGGAATATTTACGAGAAGCCTAAAATGCTAAAGGATTAACAAAAAAGAAAACAAATACGATATTTGTCTTATGCAATGTTTAATACCTTTTTTTTTTCTCTTACTTTTTTCCTTTCGGCTTTGATGTAGTTTATGTACATGCAGTAATATCCGTTTTTTACTGCCATACCAAACGTAAACTTTAGAAAGTCATGAGAGTCAAATGGAATTTTGCTAGCTAATTAAAATAAAATAATAAACCCGCAAGGGTAGCTCAGTTGGCAAATAAGCCAAAAATCTTCGATCGGAGGATTAGTCTCGTCCTTTCTCCGGTTGCGAAGCTTAGTGCACCCACTGTTACAATGAGGGGCTAGCCCAAACGGCCCGTACTCCGAGGGCATGGTGCCCGGAGAAGGTTGAATGGGGATATCTCCTGACAATGTACCAAAAAATAAAAATAAAAAAAATAATAATAATAGATCTCAATTTTGTATCAAATTGATTTGGCCTAAAGAATAAAATCCATTTGTAGTGTCTCAAAAACTAACACCATTAAGCAGGAGCTAGTTTGACGTTTGTCTCCCGTACAATTCTTTTTTTTGAAAACGAAGGTAACAAACAAGCAAAAAGAAAAAAGAAGCTACTACTACATCCTACAGAGCCTCCTCGGGCAACAGATGCCCATTACATCTCTATCAATAAAGATCCTACATCCAACTGGTGGTTCCCTGAGTACTTGGATATTCCAGTCTGTATACTGGTACGCATAGGAGGCCATGTAGTCGGCTACCATATTGCCTTCGCGAAGGGTATGCGAAACCACTACCTCCGAATCATTCTTGATCAGAAGTCGAATTCTGTTGATGGAATGAGCCAGAGGGTGTGAATCTTGACAACCATTTTTGATGAGGTTGACAGCCACCAGAGAGTCACCTAATAAGCAGATCTTCTTGAAACCAGCCTTCCAAGCTTGTTGGAGACCTTCCCAGAACCCTCTAACTTCAGCAGCTAGGGAGTTACCATGACCCAGGTTACCACAAAAACCCAAGATCCATCTACCTGAAGCGTCTCTCATGACTCCACCAAAGCTAGATTTCGATTCTCACATTAATACTAATACTAGACCCATCGACATTGACCTTGATCCAATCATGCAACGGGAATTGCCAGCCAATATGGATTGTTGTTCTACAATTCTGCATGATGCCAGTTTGACAAAGGAGATTACGGGCAGCCGCTAAATTTTCCACAAAAAACTTGGATGATAGGATGATGCCACTTGTAGAAGGCATCTGCTGCATAATGCAGAATCAGCAAGATGACGTTCTACTCTTCTAGCATTAGTTAGTAGGATATTATTCTTCAATTGCCAAAGAAAAAATCTGATCCTATTAGGTCCATCCCAATCCCAGATATTGTCCCAATCACCAGAAGCTACAGAATTCCCTTGCAGGTTGTCCATGGAAAGGATATCATAAGAGGATTTCACTGTAAACAAGTGGTCTCTTGAGGGGGACCAGATAACCATGTCCTGACCATCCAAATGCGCAGGTGGGAGGATGTTGGCCAACTTAGCACCGATAAAATCTGGCAAGAGGTCATTCAACGTACCCCAGTCCCAAGTACCTGCAGGGGAGACAAAATTCCTGACTGACCAGTGGTTCGTCGCCAGAGGGGTACTTGTATTGACAAGTGTGTGCAGGGTAGGGCAATCTAGAACCCACTTGTCATGCCAAAAGCTTTGTATTTTCACCATTACCAATTTGGATGCGGGTGCCTCCCGAGATCGACGCCCAGCATCTAACTATTCCTTTCCACAGATGCGAGGAATTTTTGCAAGCTTTTGGTTCAGACAATAGATCCTCCTCCATTCTATACTTGCTCTTTAGGACTTTGACCCATAAGGAGTGGCGTTGGGTTAGAAGACCGTGACCAAGTTTCATGATGAAAGCCTGGTTCCACGTGCGCATCTTCTTAATCCCCAAATCCCCTCTTTTCTTGCTTCTGCAAATGTTATCCCAAGCGGTGCCATGGAGTTTCCTTTTATCTTGTGAAGAGCCCCAGATGAAGTCTCTAATCCTTCTCTCCACCTGCAAGCAGGTATTAATAGGGAGGATACAAGACTGTATTGAATAAGAAGGAATACTAGACAACACGGATTGAGCCAACACAGTGCGACCATTGGAAAATATCAAAGTTGGAAAGTAGAATTCCTTCCGATAAAAGTATATCTTACCAGAGGCAGCATTGTACTACTAAACTATTATTAACCTAAAACAATGTCAACAAACCAGATGTGAAATGTAAGTCCTAGCTTTGTTCTCCGACCATGCACGTTAAGTTCAAAGAGTGTGGCCCTTTGGGAAGTACAATGGTGTGTCCTGGGAGTAAGGAGGCAGTAGAGTTGAGTCTTCGAAATGAGGATCGTTTAGAAGTTTCAGCTATCGACGCAGCTGGGGATCGGTGCGAGGGAGTTACAGTGGTTAAGGAGATTCAGTTCGAGCTCTCGTCAAAGAATAACCAGGTTGCTTCTACAACAAACTGTGCTGAGAAAGTTTTGGTTCCACCTACAGGCCAAGGGGGTAAGATGGTCTTGTACAGAGACAAACTACTTGTCCTCAATGGTGTGGGTGACTCCTGCGAGAAAGATGTGATGTGGAAGAGTTGTAGTAGAGAGAAAGAGGAGGAGGAGGATTTGCTAGAGGAGCTACAGTATGAGGAACCTGAGGATCCGCTTTTCCCTACTTACAAAGTATCTAAAAGCCAACTGAAACAGGATATCCAACAGGGTGGAAAAAGGCCTTGATCATCAAACAGTAAGGTAAGCGCATTAACCTACGGTTTCTAATGGGTAGATTACAGAAGATGTGGGCTCTGGTAGGGAGTTATAATTTGATTGACCTGGATAATGGCTTCATTCTCATACGGTTCAACGAAGAGCATGACTACATGCACGTATTGCATGAAGGGCCATGGATAGTGGCAGATCACTATGTCGTAGTGCAGCGGTGGAAGCCCTTATTTGACCCTTATGACGAAGCCGTAAAGAAGCTTGCGGTCTGGCTTAGGATCCCGGGTCTACCGATTGAGCTATATTCATGCCTTCACCTCTAGAGGATAGCTAGTCTTTTTGGTAAACCGCTTAAAATAGATAAAAACTCTCTGAAGAAGGTTGAAGGTGTAGAAGAGGAGGTAACTGAGAGAGCTAAATTTGCCCGCATCTGTGTGGAGGTGGATCTTTCGAGAAGCCTTCTCTCCCATTTCAAGTTTGCTGGCAAGGTCTACCATGTCGGTTATGAAGGCTTACACAGGATATGCTTTGCTTGTGGCCAATATGGGCATCGCAAGGAGACTTGTATCCAGAGAAGTGGTAACAGCCATGAGGGGCGTGAAGCTACACTAAGAAGAGAAGAAGAAAATGGGAATTCTTCGAAGGAGAAGGAGGTCAGGGAAGATGAGGTTAATGCTCAGGAAGAAGAGAACGCCTTTGGATCCTGGACGGTGGTCAAGAGACCAAACAGGAGACGGAGAAACCTGGAAACTCTGGCGAAGGCAGCTCAGGCGAGCAGAACCCCAAGAATTTTTTCAAAAAAAGGTCTACGAGGTCCTGACATCCCCGCAGCGAACATGCAGCATGGAATCTTGAACCAGCCCAAAGGTGAAGGGGACGGGTCACATAAACCTAGTACTGCAAACGAGGCTTCCTTGGACATACTCGTTGGAAATACTGATCCCATTCTTCTGACAGCTGTACAACCTTCAGCTATGCCTCATACGATGGGTACCTTGGAGGGAGAAAATAGCAAGATGTGTATTGAGGAGAGAATAGGAGTGAAGTTCCCAGGAAGGGGCCTCACCAAAACCCAAAGAATCAACAAGATTGGTAAAAAGGGGGTTCACCCACCATAAACCAGCAGAGTCATCCTAGATGTAAAGTGGTGCTAGTCACAAAAGGGATAAGGGTTGACAACGTCAGGACAATCCTGAAACCACAGGGCTTACTTACAGACATTAGTAAACACCAAAGTAGGAAAGATAAAGAGAAGGAAATCCTGCAGGTGAAGAGTGATGCCCCAAATGGAAGATATGTCAAGGATCTCGACATCCCTATAGCCACCGTGGGTGGTCTCTCCCCCTATCGTTCTGACTAAGCCCCAGACTTTTGTCTGATCTCCTCTTTTTGTTGGTTTTAATGAGTGTTTGCACTTGGAACTGTAGAGGAGAAAATAAAAAAGGGTTGACTTTCCTTGTAAGGGATTTCGTAAGACAACATGACATCAAAGTCCTTGGGCTCCTTGAGACCCGAATTAGTGGGCTGAAGGCTGCTAGAAAAATAAAAAAGTTTGGCTTTGATAGCTACCATAAGCAAGACCCAATCGGTTTCTCTGGTGGGCTATGGGTCCTGTGGAATGAAAGGGATGTCCATATCTCAATCTTGTCATCTAAGCACCAGTTTTTACGCACGAAAGTTTTATGGAAGAGTTCGGGTAAGGAGGAATTCATTACATTCATCTATGGTGTAACACCCCGTATATATCCGGTAATGTTATCATACTATCGTATTAAGCTGCGCTTAATTAAAAATGCGTAATATCTTTTTCTTTTCAATTATGATGACATTAATCATTACCAACTTGATTACTTAACCATTTTCAAAACATCGCCTGTATGTACATTGCAATAAACAGCTAACTGAAATACCTCATTAATTAAAATAACATAATTATGTCTCTAGTCACGGAGCTACAACACGTAGACCGGACCAACTAGCAGTTTATACGACTCAACTCAAAAGTACTAACAACATAGTGGCATGGACAACTCTCATGCTCAGCCAAATAAGGCAACAAAGCCCAACATAAGTCTCAACTCAAATAATCATATAAGTGCAGAAAATATAAACAGCATCCAAATCCAGCATTCATACATGCCAGCATAACTAACAACAATATTATCAACTAAGCTCTGGCCTCCTACCGCTAGAGGCATCAGTCGCCATACTACCTGAACCTGAAATAAGCATTCCCCAAACGTCGGGTGAGATCTCTAAACAAGAAATCTCAGTAAGGCAAGGGGTCCTCAAGGATCTTCCACCCCAAGCTCACTTACATGTGCAATATAAGTTCAAAAGCAATTTATCATCATCAGTTCTAAAATAGTGCAATGCAGCAGATAATCATGTCATGTGTGTCAATTCTATTTGTAGAAAATTAGAATTCAAACATGTTTCCGTTTTTATTTCCTATTAATTAGGATTGATTATGATTGATTAGGATTGATTATGATTGATTAGGATTAATTGTGATTGATTAGAATTGATTGTGATTAGGATTGTGATAGGATTGATTAGTCATCGCTTAGTCATTCTTAGCGATTCTTTCTTGTATAAATACTCACTCATGTAATTTATTCAATATCAATATACAAAAACTTCTTTTCAATATGGTATCAGAGCGGGTTCGTTCCTACCCTAATTCAAATCTGAAATAACCATCCAAACACTTCCATCACCGCCAAACACCTCCTAAACACCGCCTTGAATCTGTCCAACACAGAAACCTAGTTTACTGACCTCCGATCAAAAAAGTGAGGTGACCATTCGACTCAGAAGGATCCGACGAGTCGACCGCCGCTGGACCCATCGCCGTCAGCCGCTGCACGCGCCACCACGCGCCGCCTTCCAGACGTTTTTTTTCCGTCGCGACTTGCACAGACCTTCTCGCCGGCTTCTCCCCTTCCTGTTCCAGAGGTCAGATCAAAAGTTTACAAAACTTGATTTTTCATCAACGGTCAACCCTTCTCTTTTTATTCATGGCTTCCTCAAAACACTCTTTTTATTACCACGAGCAACCTCCTAAGGCCACTAGTCATGTGGTCCAGCAAGGTACAACTTTCCATGTTGATAGTCAAAATCATTGGATCCTTGATTCTGGAGCCTCTGATCATATGACAGGTAATCTTGGCTTGTTTTGTTCTTACACTCCATATTCTGAACCTTCTCGGGTCAAGATCGCCGATGGCAGCTTTTCCTAGATTGCGGGACACGGAACCATTAAACTTTCTGAGCTGATTACT